ATCACCAAATTCCTGCCTTTTTTCCTTCTGGTGTCCGTGGATCCCGTGGGCTCTGATGCTGGAATTTTGCATCCATTCCCTTTGGAATCCATTCCCTTTGGATCTCTCCAGTCCCTATTTCCAGGCTCACAGAGCCGGGACCACCAGGAAACCCCAGCTGGGATCAGATCCCATAAATCCATCCCCAAATCCCAGTTTCACAGTTTGTGTTAAATATCCATGGAAATGTGAGGTTAGGATGGAATAATTTGGGCAGAAAAAGTAACAAAAATTCAGAATTCTCAATGGAAGAAATCAGAGGCATCATTTGGGGTGGGACATCCATTCCTCAGGACCCAGAACTTTGAATTGGCAGGAATTTTATCCATTGACTTTTCTCTGTTGAACTTTTTCCATTGAATTTTATCCACTAAGTTTTATCCCTTCAAATTTATCCACTGGCCTTTCTCCACTGAATTTCATCCATTGATTTTTTTTTTCCACTGAATTTTATCCATTGAATTTTATCTGTTAAACTTTATCCGCTGAATTTTATCCCTTCAATTTTACCCTTTTGCCTTTCTCCACTGAATTTCATCCATTGATTTTTTTTTCCCACTGAATTTTATCCGTTGAATTTTGTCCCTTGAACTTTATCCACTGAATTTATCCCTTCAATTTTATCCTTTTGCCTTTCTCCACTGAATTTCATCCATTGATTTTTTTTCCACTGAATTTCATCCATTGATTTTTTTCCATTGAATTTCATCCACTGAATTTTGTCCATTGAATTTTATCTGTTAAACTTGATCCACTGAGTTTTATCCCTTCAATTTTATCCTTTTGTCTTTCTCCACTGAATTTCATCCATTGATTTTTTTTCCACTGAATTTCATCCACTGAATTTCATCCATTGATTTTTTTCCCATTGAATTTCATCCATTGAATTTTATCCATTGAATTTTACCTGTGAAACTTTATCCACTGAGTTTTATCCCTTCAATTTTATCCTTTTGCCTTTCTCCACTGAATTTTATCCATTGATTTTTTTTCCACTGAATTTTATCCATTGAATTTTGTCCCTTGAACTTTATCCACTGAATTTTATCCCTTCAATTTTATCCTTTTGCCTTTCTCCACTGAAATTCATCCACTGAATTTTACCTGTTGAATTTCGTCCCTTTAACTTTATCTGCTGGATTTTATCCAACTAATTTTGTCTTTTTAATTTTATCCACTGAATTTTATCAGTTGAATTTTATCCACTGAATTTTGTGGATAGACCTTTATCCCACTGGATTTTATCCATTGGTTTTTATCTGCTGAATTTCATCCATTGAGTTTCACCCATGGAATTTTATCCCCTATTGACCTGCTGCGATTTTTCCAGAGGACTTTGGCTTCCTGAACTAAACCTGAGTTCATTTAAATTAATGACTCAGAAATNTTGGGATTTTGGGATTTTGGGGAGTTTGGGGTCGGGATTTGGGGAAGTTTCGGGGTGTGATTTGGGGAGTTTGGGGTTCGGATTTTGGAGAGTTTGGGATTGGGAATTTGGGGCCGGGATTTGGAGAAGTTTTGGGATGGGATTTGGGGAATTTGGGGTCAGGATTTTGGGAAATTTCAGAATGGGATTTGGGGAGTTTGGGATTGGGATTTTGGGAATTCGGGGCCGGGATTTGGGGGAGTTTTGGGATGGAATTTTGGGATTTTGGGGCTGGCATTTGGGGAAGTTTTGGGATGGGATTTTGGAAAGTATTGGGATGGGATTTTGGGAATTCAGGGCTGGGATTTTGGGATTTTGGGGCTGGGATTTGGGGGAATTTGGGCCTGGCATTTTGGGAATTCGGGGCTGGGATTTGGGGAGTTTTGGTTTGGGATTTTGGGATTTTGGGGCCGGGATTTGAGGAAGTTTTGGGATGGAATTTTGGGAATTGGGGGCTGGGATTTGGGGATTTCGGGGCCAGGATTTGGGGGAGTTTTGGGATGGAATTTTGGGATTTTGGGGCCGGGATTTGGGGACATTTTGGGGTGGGATTTTGGGATTTTGGGGCCGGGATTTGGGGGAATTTGGGGCTGGCATTTTGGGAATTCGGGGCTGGGATTTGTGGAAGTTTTGGGATGGGATTTTGGGAATTTGGGCTCGGGATTTTGGGACTGGGATTTAGGGAAATTTTGGGATGGGATTTTGGGATTTTGGGCTCGGGATTTTGGGACGTTTTGGGATGGGAATTTGGGAATTGGGGGCCGGGATTTTGGGATTTTGGGGCCGGGATTTGGGGGCGTTTTGGGCTGGGATTTTGGGAAGTTTTGGGCCGGAATTTTGGGAATTCGGGGCCGGGATTTGGGGAAGTTTTGGGCCGGAATTTTGGGATTTTGGGGGCCGGGAAGAGCCGGCGTCGCTCCCTCCCCTCCTCTCTCCCCTTTGGAAAAGGCGCCTCCGTCACGTGGCGATGGATTCGGGTCCAACGTGGAATCTTTGGGATCGGGAATTCCGGGAATTCCGGGAATTCCGCCACTTTGGGGGGGGCCCGAAAACCGCAGGGGGAAACAAAAATGGGGAAATTCCGGGNTGGATGTGGCCGGAGCAGAGAGAGAGGCGACAGTGGAGGAATCCGTGCCCAAAATTGGGGAGAATCCAGGGAAAACTGGGGGCGAGGCTGGGACAGAACTGGAGAAAACACCGGGAAAAACATCCCCCAAGGGTGGGGAGAACTCTGGGAATGCTGTTGGTGAGACGCACGGGGGAAGTTCGGTTAAAATCCCACAAAATAAAGGGATGGGAGCTGCAAAATCCGAAGAAAACCACGCGGCCGCTCCGGTAAATCCCGCTGCGTCCCTGAAGGAATCTTGCATTGGGAAAACCCTGCTGAAGGCAGTGGTGTCTGTCCCGGACATCCTGAAACAGAAAATTCCCGTCAGGATCACCGAGCCTGCCCTGGCAAGAGCTGGGGAGCAGAAAATCCCCCCCAAAGCAGGACTGGAGAAGAAAATCCCACCCAAAACCGCGGCTCAGCCGGGAGCTGGGAACAGCCCACGGAAAGGGAATGGGAATTCTGGAGTGGAAGCGCAGGGAGATGGCGGGAAGAGCTCATCCCAGCAGGAAAAGGATTCCCAGCTGGAATCTCCCACGAGCTCAAAGCAGAGCCAGCAGGGAGAGAGCGGGACATCTGGCACCAAGGAGAATCAGGTGAGGAGGGCAGGAATGCTCGGGTGTTCCCTGAGCTTCTCCCGCTCTGGGATTCCGGGATCATCCCTTTTCCATAAATCCCGGGGCCACCACAGGAGCTGCTGGGTGACCTGTTCCTTTCAGCTGCACCAGCATGTGGAGAGCCTGGTTTAAGCATGGCTTGAAGAAAGAGGCCATGGGGGTATTGAGCTGAGGGAAAGACAGAAGCCTGCTGCAAAGCAGCCTTTCCCAGGCTTGATCCCGTAAATAATTAAGGTTATTAATTACTCTCAGCCACCTTTTATATAAACAACAAGATTCTCAGACCGTTTCCTCAAAAACAAGCAATATTCTGTCCTTGGCTGCTCTAGGAACAGATGGCCATTCTGAGAACAGATATAAAGGTTTTGAGAACTTTTCATATCATGGTGAGAACACTGATCTTGGTTTCAATAAACTAACTTCAGGTACTGTAAACAAA